AAAGATAGGAAAAGAAGAAGTTAAATTATCATTGTTTGCAGATGACATGATACTCTACATAGAAGACCCCCTAAACTCCATTGAAAGACTCTTAGATACAATAAATAAATTCAGTAATGTGGCTGGATACAAAATTAATACTCAGAAATCAATAGCATTCCTATACACGAACAACAAAATCACAGAGAGGGAAGTAAGAGAAACTACACTCTTCACATTACTAAGCAAAAAATGAAATTTAGAAATTACTCTTATGAAAGAAGTAAAAGACCTATACAGTGAAAATTATGATACACTGAAAAAAGAAATTGAAGATGATCTCAGAAAATTGAAACACATCCCTTGCTCATGGATAGGAAGAACAAACATTGTGAAAATGGCCATTCTCCCAAAACTGTTATACAGATTCAATGCAATCCCAATACAAATACCATCAACATACCTTATAGATCTAATGAAATCACTCCTAAAATTCGTCTGGAACCAGAAGAGACCTAGAATAGCAAAGGCAATTCTAAGCAGCAAAGGCAAAGCAGGAGGCATCACAATCCCTGACTTGAAGGTATACTACAAAGCAACAGTAGTAAAATCAACATGGTATTGGAATCAAAACAGAGCCGAAGATCAACGGAATAGATTAGCAGATACAACCACAACTACAAACACACTCAACCACCTTATCTTTGATAAAGGAGCCAAGCAGGTTCACTTGAAGAACAATAGTCTCTTTAATAAATGGTGCTGGAAAAACTGGCTCTCCATTTGCCAAAAACTAAAGCCAGACCCATGTCTATCACCATGTACTAAATTAAAATCTAAATGGGTCAAAGATCTGAATATTAAAACAGAAACACTAAATCTATTGGAAGACAAATGGGGTAGAAACCTTGAAGACATAGGAGTAGGTAGAGAATTCATGAACAGGACTCAAACCGCACGGGATATACTTCCCAGAATCAATAACTGGGACCACTTCTTATTAAAAAGTTTCTGTATGTCAAAAGAAATCTCCAGCATAGTGAAAAGAAAACCCACAAAATGGGAAAAGATTTTAGTGAACTCTCTCTCAGACAAGGGACTCTTGTCTAAAACATATAAAGAATTTAAAAAACTCAGACCCCCAAAATTCAAAGATCCAATCCAAAAATGGGCATCTGAGATGAATACACACTTCTCAGATGAAGAAATGCAAATGGCAAATAAATACATGAAAAAATGTTCATCATCATTGGTCATTAGAGAAATGCAAATTAAAACCACACTGAGATACCATCTCACTCCTGAAAGAATGGCCAGGATCAAGAAAACCAACAACAACAAATACTGGAGAGGCTGTGGGGAAAAAGGAACTCTCCTACACTGTTGGTGGGAGTGTAGACTGGTCCAACCTTTGTGAGATCAGTCAGGAGATTTCTTAAAAAGCTGGGATTGGAAGTCCCATTTATTCCAGCTATTCCACTTCTAGGCATATTTCCAGAAGAACTGAAAGCATCATACCACAGTGATATATGTGCACCTATGTTTATAGCGGCACAATTTGTAATCGCCAGATCTTGGAAACAACCCAAGTGTCCATCAACTGAGGAATGGATAAAAAAGTTGTGGTATTTCTATATAATGGAGTATTATTCAGGTATGAAGAAGGATCACACTGAGATATTTATCAATAAATGGGTGCAGCTTGAGACCATACTCATAAGTGAAATAAATCAATCTCGCATGTGTGATTACCGAATAGTTTCCCGAATATAAGTAATGATTCAAATATATAAAAATATGTGGTGATCATGATTCCCCATTATGTGGCCTTGAAGCCTTATAAAGTTTTCACTTATTAATTGGAAAGGCTTTATTCTGGGCTTCTTGATATGGAAATATTTGAAGCTATAGTATATGAAGTTTTATTCAAATATTTCAAGGAAAAAAACAGACAGTATGGTAACTACTAATAAGTCGGGTTATTTGGTGGTGAAGTAGTAGGTTGCTGAAACAGTCATGCTTTGACCTGTATTGTTATATTGTTATGTCCTGTTTTATCTCAATCTCTCCCTTATTCTTTACAAAAATTATTTAGTTATTTCTTATGTTTGTTTTAATTAAGGGGAAAAATTTTAAAAATTAGCAGGATATATAATAGTAACTTTTTTTGATTTCCTATTAACTTGTTTTGAAGTCCTGTAATACTCCCACGATCTTGTTTTGACTGATTAGACTCTGTTCCATTCTGTATGATAGTATCAAGTTTGAGGGTATAGGCAACTACTTTGAAGGCAATAAGATTCACTAAGATGCCCATTCTGGTTTGACTATTGTCTCCTTTGGAAGTCCTGTAATGTTTACAATGCTTAAGTTTTATTGGTCTTGTTCTCTACTGTTTTGTTCAACTTTATAATATCTGATGAGATAGACAATTCTTTTTAAGGAAACAAGAGACATCGTTGATAACCATTGTTTATAACCTTGTACTCTGTTTTACATCATGTGCTATGTGTATCCTTGGTTTTGACAGCTTTGTTTTGCCATATTTCACTTTATTCTCTCCCCCCCACAAACAGTAATAAGAACTAAGGAGTAATAAAACCCAAAATGTGTAAATTTTGTTGTAAAAAAGAGAGGGAAAAAAAGTGCTCTAAAGGATACAACAGCAAGTGTGTTTAGGGGTGTTAAATAGCTGACCATATTAATGTTTTTGGTTGGATCATTGAATACAACTGTTTGCAGTCTCACTGTTTGAATGTCCACTTTGTATGCTTTGATACTGTGACTTAAGCAACTATCTCTAAGATGATAATATGTAATCTATTAACTGGTGAAAAAAAAAAGAACAAATGCATTTACATACTTTGAATGAAGCACTTGCTTGTAATAGGAGATCTACATTTAAAATGAAAAACGAGGCAAGTAATCTTCAAACCTACAGTTTATATATTCCTTTCATTATTTTTTTTTGCTCTTTACCTTTGCTTCTTCTTTACTTCCTCTTTCTCTCTCTTTCCTTTTCCTTTCCTCCTCCACTGCTGTGGTAGTGTTTGTGTCACATCCTAAGGCTAAGCCTAGTGCTTCCAAAGCAGCCACCTTCTTATGTGGCTTATTAGAGAAGATTTGGTTACAAATAATAGAAAGAGGTAACAGAGTCCTACAGAAGGACAGGGCATCCCAAAGCCAGTGGCCAGGAATTATAGAAACAGCACACAGTAAGGAAGAGTGGCAACAGAGCCACACAAAGAGCTAATGATGGCTCCGGAACCCCGCCAGGCCATGTTGGCGACCAGAGCTTCAGATGCCTACAGGTAACCTGAGCCATCTGTGGGGAAATGGATGTACTTTGAGATTATATTACGTGAAATAAATCAGACACACAGGCTCAAGTATCACAAGGCTAAATGTAAAATATAAATAAAGAGCAAATAAAAGATAGCAAAAGAGAGAGCAAGCGGAGGCAGAGAGAAGAAGAAAAAGAAAAGGAAGAAGAGAAAAAGGGGAAGGAAGAAGAGGACAGGAGGAGGAGGAGAGAGGCAGACAGAGACAGAGACTGACTTAGATATCTTTAGCAAAAGCAAAGCAGATCAAGAGAGTATGGAGGGAGGGGAAGGGAAGGGGATGAAAAAGGAATTAGTACCTATATGTATGTACACTCCACAAGGAGTGTAATCATTATGTAATGCATACCTGTACTAATATCAATATAAAAACTGAAAAATACTACATAATACTACATACTAGATACTACTAAAAAACGTCAAGTAACTCCATCTTGTAGGACTTTTGAGAGCATTAAATCATGTAATAATATATGGATATGAAAATTCCTGAAATTAAAGTTAGGAACCAAACCTTGGAAATCACATTAGGTATTGAGATTATTATAACTAGCATTCAAGATTTAAAAGATTATGAACATAAATCACTCTTCAGAAAAAGTACTCAAAAAGCTATAGCTATTGTTATTAGTACTATCATTATTATTCTTACTCTATCTTTACTTTGTTATTATTTTGTTTTGAGACATGTTCTCATTATGTTGCCCAGGTTGGCCTTGAGCTCAGGCATCCGACTGCTGGGATGACAGGCATCACTACTGTGTCTTTCCTGGGCACCTTTGGACCTCACTGGAAAGTGGGCTGAACTCCTGACTCACAGGTGGCCACTGTTTATGCTGGGTTTTAGAGTTTTCTCTGTCTATCATGGGACACGGTCATGGCTCCGTCATAATCCTGCTCTCTTTTATTGTTCATGCCGCAACTGAAATTGTGGACTATTTGAGGGACTTTCCCTCAAATACACCTTATTATTTTTCACTTTTTATTTGTGTTTCCCTGCCTAGAAGCCTGTACACACTTTTGTTTGTCTGGTTCCTCTGTTTATCTTTTATGGATCAGCACAAATGCCTTCTTTCTCACCGAGTTTCCTAACCTTGTATCTACTTACACTATTCTCTCACTTTCACAGTAATAAATCAACAAATTTTTAAGTGTTTTCTGGGGGCTAGGTGGTAAGCTGAATACAAAGAGAACTTTGATTAGACTCTTACCTTTCAGGAGCAGAAAAGCAGGTTAGCAAACCAATGAGAATAAAAGTGATAAGAGCTAGAGTTGTGTTCTAAAGGGCAAGTCAAGTTATTAAGGTGACCTGAAGAACTCCACAAGGTGAAATGACAGGAACGATGTCTTACAGGCTATCAGACACCACTGAAGGATCTGGGCCGGGAAGTAACAGTGCTGCTTTACACAATAGAGTATCACCTTCATTTCTCTGAGAAAGATCAGGTGAGAAGAATGGACAGCTAGTCACCACTGCCTGGAGCACTATCTGGCACTTTAGCACACATACACACATGCATGGGCACACATGTGTCTGTACCACACCAGGCTGTACACTGAGAACATAAACTCTCACTTGGGAGTCTCCAAATCTAGATCCGGGGTGCAGGGTGATGTGACAGAAGGGGTTGGTCAACATGTAAGAATATTCATGACCCTACCAATAGAATGTCAGCTTACCAGTTTTCCAGTAACACTCTGACCACCTTCATTCAGCCAGAATCCAGGGATCATGGCTGAGAAATAAGGCCCCCATACACCTGGTACAAAAATCGGGCCTCTGCTGATCTGAAAAGAAAGAAGTACAGTATGTGAAAACATTGACCTTCAGGGCTAGAAAAAGGTTTATCCTTCCCCTTACTGATGTTTTCATGATCAGGGAATTCAGTTTCTTGTTGATACCTTCTGTGACAGGGAACTCACTCTCTTAGGGAAGATCATGGCTCCATCTTAGGAGACCTTTCTGATGAAACCATTTAGATGTCAAGGTAGAAAACATGACCATTATAGAAAGCAACTGGTGAAACATTTCTTTGTTGGTCAATTATCCATGGCAGAATTTTTGCAAAACTCGTCTCTATTCTCTACCTTTTCTATATTCACAATGAGATGTTCAGCTCTTCCCATTGAGAGGTGGGTCTATCTCCCAACCTTTGGATTTGGGAAGCTTGTGACGTGTTTGCCAAGGAAGACGTAACTCTGTCCACTGTTGTAGGCCTACTCCTGCTGCAAGGCTTCCTACTCTACCCTTGTATTGCTTCTCTGTCACAGCCATAAGTTATACCTGGAATGAGAAATGTGATCAGCGCAGTGATCTAAGATGATGTACCAAATATAGGAGCAAGCCCAGGCAAGACCAGCAAGTCCACCCTGCTGGAGAGCAACTGATTGACTGAGGGTATCAGAATCACTCAGCCTGCCAACAAGCTTGTGAGTAAAAATACATGTCTACTGCAATATGTGACTAAGACTTACTGTATTTTACCTAGCATTTTTGTGGCAACAGATAACTGATACATTTTTTTTTCTTTTTTTTTTTGTAACTTTAAAAAAAAATTTTATTTAAGGAGAAAAAAAAGCAGAGAAAAGGTACAAGTTATACAGATTTACAGAAAAAAATAAACAGTAGGAAATCACTAGTTAATGGATTACATATTGTCATTTTAGAAATAATTGTTCAAGTCACAAAATTAAAGCTTGTAAAGTGGACATTCCAACAATGATACTGCAAACAGTTCTGTTCAATGATCCAATAAAACTCAGTGATACCATTTTCTATCTTATACACTTAAATATACATGCAGTTATATAGTTTAGAGCACTTCCTTTTCCTCTCTTTTGTACAATGACAATTACACATTTTGGGTTTTATTGCTCTCACGGTTCTTATTACTTTTTTGGAAGAGAGTAAAACCAAATGTGACATAACAGAACAGAGTCAATCAAATCAAAAGGGTGGACATAATAGATAATGTAAAAACATAATACAAGGTGATCAACAATGGTTACCATAATGCCTCTGCTACCTCTAATAGAATTGCCTATATCATCAGTTATAATAAAATTGAACAACACAGTAAAGAACAAAACCGACAAAACCAAAACATTGGAGACATTGTAGGTCTTCAAAAATAGATAAAAGTCATCGAGAATGGGCGTCATAATGAATCTCACTATCTTCACAGCTGATGCCTAAACTTTCGAACCTGATACTATCCAGCAAAACAGAATAGGAGGACATCAGTCAAAAACAAGATGGTGAGAGTAATACAGGGCTTTAAATCAAGATAATGGAAAGTCAAAGTGGGTTACTATAATATATCCTGCTATTTTTATTTATTTTTCCCTTAATTAAAAGGATAAAAATAAAAAAGAAAATAATGGAGTGGAGATTGAGATAAAAGAGGGCATAACAGCAAAACAGCGCAGATCAAAACATAACCATTTAAGCAGAATAGTGTTTCACCACAAAATAATCCTGACATAAAAGTAGTTACCATATTGTCTCTTTCCTTGAAATCCTTGAGTACAAACTTCGTATACTGTAGCATTAAATATATCAAAACAATGTAAAACCATTTAAGAGAATGACAGCATTACAGGGTATTTAGAATCAACTAACAGAAAATGAACAATGGTTTCTGTATAATCTCCTTCTCTTTAAAAGTTTTTGCTTACACTATCATACATAATAAAATCCAATAAGATACAAACTGTTTGGACCTATGGAGACAGAAGAACAAAAGCTTGATGAGACTTCAAAACAAGATGATACTAAATCAGTATTACCTATTAAGACGTCATTTTCTCCAAAATAGCTGTTCCTATCATCCAATCTTCTCTGCCTCATTTCTGTTGAGCTCTTTTTCTGTCATTAGTTGTCAGTTTGTCTTCTTCATTTTGTTCTCTGCTCCATTCATTGTGGCCTCCCTGCCACTATTTCTGGACTCTTTGTATTTTTCTTTTTTTAGAATATCCTGCAATACTCTCTGTAGAGTTGAATTGGTGGTTGCAAATTACCCCAGTTCCTCTTTATCCTGGAAGCACCTTGTTTTTCCATCAATTTCCAGGGACAGTTGTGCAGGATATCTCAATCTTGGCTGGAGGTTATTAGGTTTCAACACTTGAATTATTTCCCCCCACGCTCTTCGTGATTTGATGGTTTGTGCAGAGAAATCTGCTGTAATTCTGATGGGTGTTCCCTTGTAAGTGGTCTGTTTCTTGTCTCTGACAGCTTTTAATATTCTGTTCTTATATTGAATTTCTGGAATTTTTATTATTATATGCCTGGGTGTTGCTCTGTTTGGGTTGTAGGTGGCTGGGATCCTGTATGCCTCATACATCTGAGTATCTTTACCTTTTGCTAAATTAGGAAAATTCTCCTGGATTATTTCTGTGAGTAGCTTTTGTAGTTCATTTGTTTGTGTCCCTACTTCTTCTTTTATGTTCTTAATTCTTAAGTTATGGCTCCTCTTATCATCTTCTTGTCTTTGTATTATTGCTGTTTGTTTCTTTGTTATTTTTAAGAAGTTTTTCATTTCATTCTCCCATATTACAAATCTGCCCTCCAGTTCAGATAGTCTGTCCTTAGTTCCTTTTAAGCTGTTATGCCAGTTTTCGATAGAGTTTTTAGTTTCCTGGTAGTCCCTTTGAACCTGCTTCACGTATTCTATTCTTTCTCTATTTTCTCCATCAAACAATTCTCCTCTCTTTTTCTGTTCTTCCATTCCACCATCCGTTTTTTCTTGGGTGGTGCTTAGCATTTCTCTAACTATTCTGCTTACTTCTAGCTTCAGGTCATTAATAACTTCATTCCTGAACTGATCTATGAGGCTCTCTAGATGGCGCTTTATGTCTATTGGTGTGGTGTCCGCTATTACCTGTTTCTCAGGATTAGGGGCCGAGGAGCCTTTCTTGTTGCTGCCTCTTCCCATATTCTTTGTTCCTTATATATGCAAGCTTATATAGGAGGCCCAGCTTCCCTCCCTGTCAGCCACAGCCTGATCGAATTGCGCCGGCTAGGTGTTCCTGCCCACCGCAGCACACCAGGAAGTTCCAGACCAGGCAGCCTACGCGCCCCCCCCCTTCCAGGCCACCCTCAGGCTATGGGATCTGGGTTGGGCCAGCCTACTGGGTCCACCAGCAGCGTCATGTAGGCTAGGCACTTCTCACCAATCCCGCTTGAGAGGAGGATATGTGGCTGAAGTTGTCACAGCGCCCTGCTCCCGCAAGTCTGCCCAGTCCCAGATTGTCCTCCGCTGGAGTCAAACTGTGGTAGAGTGTCAGTTTCTCTCACTCACCTCGCCACAAGTCAGTGCACGGCTCCCTGCCCATCCTGTTTTCGACTCTGTTCGCAGATTCCCATTCTCAGAGCTTCCGCACGTCTCTCTCCCTGCCTAGCCGATGTAGACCCAGCCACTGCGTGGCGGGAAACCCAAATCGCGGCTTCCAATGGTGCGGGCTCCAGCCTCCACACTGAGGCTTTTCTGTTCCTGTTCGAGCACCAGGATTGCATTCCAAGTTGGTTTCTCTCAGCCCAGTTCATTCCTGGGTCAGCAGAGCATATCTCCACCGGCTTATGTCTCCTTACTCCGCACCATTCCTGACGTCTGAGCCAAGTCTTTCAGAGAGCCTCCATAGCTGCTGTTATCTGTCTGCCATGTTCTCCTGTTCTTTTTAAAAATATTTCCTAGCCAGTTAGTAGCATATTCTTTGAGGGTGAAAACAAAATAATGACTCAGAAAGAATTTTCCCTTTAAGAAAAAAAAGAGAAAGAAAAGCTCTGATGCAGGGAAGAACTATACAGATGTATACACAGACTACGGTTTGATCCACTGTATGATAAAAACAAAATAGAATTTTAAGAGGGCTCTGGGTTGAGAAGTGTGCTAAAGAAAAATACAAAAAAGACCGCAGCTTAAATAGGTACCCCAAGGCCCAATTACCCATAACTAAGTAGCCAAATCGTAACTAGTCATCTTAATTTTCCTGAAATGCTAGCTCCCACAATAAATAAGCACAAAATGCCAGCTTTATGTTTTCATCAGAATGATTTAATGAATTTAAAATGTAAGCTTCACATCCTTGTCAGCATGACTCAGTGAAATTAAACTAGTAGCTATAGGCAAAGAGTTTACACAGTTCTGCTCTGTCTACACTCCATCAGAAAAAGAACACTAACAGCCAAACAGAAATCAGGAAGAAGTCCACAGTGCTTTCTTCTTCATGCTCTATAAATTGCAGGATAACCCAACTGCTAAGCATCGGCCTCTCATCACTTCATGTCTTGCTGATCACAATCTGCTCTTTCTGAAAGATAATAAATTTTCTATAGTGTGTTCTGATTTTACGTTTCACAGGGGAATGATACAGGGGTGGCTTCTTAGAAAAAGGGACAAAAGCTTAGTTTGGGGAGTAAGCTAGAAAAAAGGGACCAAGCATTCACGAACAAAGCCTCATGAGAGAAGCAATCTCAGCATCTGAAATGCTGCAGTGTCCTTATAGCAGGCCACAGTGCCCTTTTAAAGTGAAAGAGATAAGCCAGGGCAGGTAGTGGTGGGCCATGCATTCTTTGATTCACAGCAGTATCTGCTTCTCCTCCACTCAGCAGGCATGGCTGCTAAAGTCACATTTATAGGTGTGGAAAGGTTTATCTGGAAGGTAGGGAGGTAACGAGAGTCAGGCACACAAGGTCTACTGTAGCAGGTCTTGCAAGCTAAGCAGAGAATCTACTCATTTATTTATACAACAAATATTTATTTCAGGTCTTACTCTACATGCTTGCTACT